ATGCTGATTTCAAAAATATGATCCCTGGCCAAGATTTTAGGAACATTGTTTAATATGTAATTAAAAAAACAAAAAAGTCATTTTTCAATGGATGTTATCGAACAATGCAATGGCAGGATTAATCGAAGAAATGACACCCAGAGTAAGTAACTTCTACAGCTCGAAATCTCCAAGAAAATGTCTTCAATTAAATTTGAAAAGTGGTCGAAAAATTCCGAAATTTTCAGGTGTATTGAAAAATTTTGGTTTTGAAAAAGTTCTCTAAAAATCTTCAAAAAAAATATGGAATATTGATTTCGACATGCTGATTCCAAAAATATAGCATTTTAATGATTTCAGGGCAAGATTTTCGAAAAATTTTATGTGAAATGGAATTTAAAAAAACTAAAAACTCACATTTCAATAGACGATCTGCAAAATGGTAGTTATCGAAGAAAGGAGGCCGAAAGTAACTTTTGGAGGTCTAAATGTACAAGAAAATGCCTTTCGTTAAGTTTCCGAAGTGTTCGAAAAATACCGAAATTTTCTCAGGCTGGAAGGGAAAATTGAAAATTTTTGGTTTTGAAAAACTTGTGAAAAAATTTTGAATGTAGATTTTGACGTGTGATTCCAAAAATATAGCGCTTTTATGGTCCTGGGGCAACATTTTAGAAATATTCGATTTGATCATGCTTTTTTTTAATCCCAAAAACTGCCACATTTCAGTGGTGGTCGAAAAAATGCTTGAGGGGATATCGAAAAATTTTGATTTTGAAAAAGTTATTTAAAAATCATAAAAAAATTCAAGTATATAAATTTCGACATGCTGATTAAAAAAATATGTTCCCGGGGCAAGATTTTATGTACATTGTTTGATGTGTAATAAAAGAAAATCTGAAAAACTCATTTTTCAATGGCTGTTTTTGAAAAATGGTAGGAGTTATCGAAGAAATAAGACCCAAAATAACTTCTGTAGGTTGAAAACTACAAGAAATAAGTTAAATTTGAAAGATGGTTTAAAAATTCCAAAATTTTCAGGTGTACGAAAAATTTTGATTTTGAAAAAGTTCTGTAAAAATCTCAAAAAAATCGATTTCGACAATATGCTGATTCCAAAAATATAGCGTTTTAATGTTTTCAGAGCAAGGTGTTAGAAGTATTCTATGTGATATTCAATTAAGAAAAATTTTAAACTTACCTACATTTCAATAGACCATCTGGAAAATGGTAATTATCAAAGAAATGAAACCGAAAGTAACTTTTGGAGGTCTAAATGTTCAAGAAAATGTCTTTCGTCAAGTTTTGAAGACAATTGAAAAATAAAGAAGTTTTCACAGTTTGGATGGGAAAACTGAAAAATTTTGGTTTGAAAAAGTTGTCAAAAAACCTGGATGTAGATTCAAAAAATATAACGCTTCTATGGTCCTGGGGCAAGATTTTAGAAATATTCGATTTGATATGAATTTATTTTTTTTATTTATTTAGAAAAACTTATTTAACAATCATAAAAAAAATCAGGTATATAAATTTTGATTGCTGATTCCAAAAATATGGTCGCTGGGCAAAATTTTAGGTATATTGTTTGATATGTAATAAAAAAAAACCGAAAAACCCATTTTTCAATGGCTGTTTTTGAAAAATGGTAATAGTTATCGAAGAAATGAGACTCAAAGTAACTTCTGGTGGCATAAATCTACAAGAAAATGTATTCAGTTAAATTTGAAAGATGGTCGAAAAATTCCAAAATTTTCAGTGTATTGGAAAATTTTGGTTTTGAAAAAGTTCTCTAAAAATCCTCAAAAAAATCTGGAATATTGATTTCGACATGCTGATTCCAAAAATATAACGTTTTAATGATTTCAGGGCAAGATTTTAGAAATATTCTATGTGAAATGCAATTAAAAGAATTAAAAACTTACAATTTCAATAGAGAAATGTACAAGAAAATGTCTTTCGTTCAGTTTTAAAGACAACTGAAAATACCGAAGTTTTCACAGGTTGGATGGGAAAACTGAAAAATTATGCTTTTGAAAAAGTTGTCAAAAAATCTGGATGTAGATTCCAAAAATATAACGCTTTTATGGTCCTGGGCAAGATTTTAGAAATATTCGATTTGATATGAATTTATTTTATTTTATGTATTTATTTTTTTTTAACCAAAAAACTGCCACATTTGCAGTGGTGTTCGAAAAATTTTGATTTCGAAAAAGTTATTTAAAAATCATAAAAAATTCAGGCATATAAATTTCGACATGCTGATTCCAAAAATATGGTCCCTGGGCAAAATTTTAGGTATATTGTTTGATATGTAATAAAAAGAAATCCAAAAAACACATTTTTCAATGGCTGTCAAAATAACTTCTGGAGATCGATATCTAGAAGAAATAAGTTAAATTTGAAAGGTGGTCGAAAAATTCCGCAATTTTCAGGTGTATTGAAAAATTTTGGTTTTGAAAAAGTTCTCTAAAAATCCTCAAAAAAAATCTGGAATAAAGATTTCGACATGCTGATTCCAAAAATATAGCGTTTTCATGATTTCAGGGCAAGATTTTAGAAATATTCTATGTGAAATGCAATAAAAAAAAATTAAATCTTACATTTCAATTGAGGATCTGGAAAATGGTAGTTATCGAAGAAATGAGGCCGAAACTAACTTTTGGGAGTCTAAATACTTAAACAAGAAAACGAAATTTTCACAGCGTATATGGGAAAATTGAAAAATTTTGGTTTTGAAAAGATTATGAAAAAATTCTGGATATAGATTTGGACGTGCTGGTTCCCAAAATATAGCGCTTTTATGGTCCTGGGGCAAGATTTTAGAAATACAGATCGATTTGATATGAAAAATCTCGAAATTTGGGGGTATCGAAAAATGTTGGTTTTGAAAAAGTTATTTAAAAATCAAAAAAATCCTGAAAACACTTTTTGTGGATATTTTATGGAGCAATTTTCTCTGTCAATGATACTTCTCATTTAAAGTGCATTATCCATGATCATAAGCTTCACGTGCCGCTAAATAAACGAAGTTCTGTCTAAACATAACATTAATTATATAAGACAGTTTCTTGGAAAATATTTCTATAATTTTCATGACCGTCGATGTTACGTATTTTAAATTTCTAAACGAAGAGTACCAGAAGACGTTTAAGTTTTCTAGCCACGTATGAAGTCAAAAAGTTTAATAAATGAATCATTGTCTAATTCAACCTATTCATTCATCCATTCAGTTAAATACCGAAGAATTGCAAAGGTACATATTATGGGAAACTTGTTAATATTAATATTGATATCGGAATTACCGATGTAATGATCGATTGACTATTTTTATAATTGGTCCATGAGCAGTAATTATCACAATACTTCGAAAAAATCTCATAAACAACTAAAAAGTGGCTTATAGAATGCAAAAATGTAAATCCCTAATTTCGTCTATTATGTCATCTATGTGTTGTTTGTTTTGTTTGTGTGGTTTAAAAAAAAAATAACAATAAATAGGAGTAATTTAGAGGTGGCTGTGGAATTTCTTTTAATTATTTTGATACCAGAGTCATTTATAGACACGCTATAATATATCAGTTTACCCGTTAGAATATATTTATGCAAACCAGCATAGTTACCAAGTTAATTTCTGAAGCTGTTTAAACTGTTATAATCGTTTGATATCACAACTTCCACCACCTAGATCAACAACAAAGCACATGAACCGTCGAAGATCTGTTGTCGCCAAAAAAACGCCACACCTACTGCAAAAAGTAGATCCGGTGACTGACAGCGAACATTCGTTTGACCCTCCTTAATTTTATTTTGTTAAATTGCCACACATATCTGCATACAATTATTCGCCAAATCTCTCCGAGGTAAACCAATCCGTGTCCGTGTTTTCCGCCGAATTCTTTGTCTCGACCAAGCCTTTCCAAAACCCGAAACCACACAGAGTGCATTGCATCCGAGTCGCCGTTTCTGGTTTTTCGACAACCATTACTATTGCAGACGTTATGTAACGCCTAGACAAGAAGCAACAGGGTCGTTGAATGCGTCTTTATGTATAGCTGACCTTCAAATCAAAATAATGTAGTTCGTCTAGTCATCTGGGTTATGGAACTTCTTGAAGGTGACTTTGTGCAGCAGTACTTTGGCTCTAAACGCCCGTATAATTTTGGTATTAGACGGCGTAAATTGCGCAAGATGACAAAACATATATTTAGATTGAGAGAACCCTAAGAGCAATTTTCATCACTTAACTAATAGCACTTGAATAGTCGGAATGGCCCTTCTGGCTCGACGCCAGATGGCAGTAGTAGTTTCAGACGTGAGCCCCAAAATGAGGGTTACGCCGTAATGATGGTGCCAACTTAAAAACAATTTGACGAATGGGAAGGGAAGATTCGGAAACTCCAGTGACGTATTCCGCAGCAAACAGGCGTGTCTTTGTTTAGATGTAGTTTCAGGGGTTCGACAAGGGCCTCACCTCGGGGCTAGTTTTTTCTCGATTTGTGTGAATGATCTTTGACACGACTTCAGCCACTTTTTTTGTGGAATTTAGTGTTTACCCTAACAGTTTGTAGACGCCGCCGCCTTCCCGACGAGCCGCCGCTTCCGAAGTGCTACTTTTTGTTTTGTTTTTTCCGGTTTGATATATTGGTGTTTTGCGAGAAAGGCTATCTGGATTATCTCTAAAAAATGTTGTTCTGGCTGCTGTTATCTATTTTGCGGCTTTATAATGTCGTCATCTCGTGTTTCGCGCATTCCTAGGACACTATCGATCAATAAATCCCAGAGCTCCATTTACATGGCTAAATTTTATGGAAGATCAAATGGCTACTCTTATAACGATGTACACGGTGGCAGTGTGGTTAGCTGGTTGTGTTTTTATATCACGACCACTATCCATACTACCTTCATGAATATCGTTAAGGCGACCGGATGACGTCAACGCAGGTAATTGCTCACATATGGTGGAGGCGCTACTCTCACTTTTCCTAGTTTTTATGCTTGCTATATAGACTGTTTTCTTTTTTCAGAGCCGCCTATGTGTCTTTCGGGGGACTCCTGATGAGGCTACAAGGTGACGCCAACAACTTGCACAGCTTCGAAGTCGACCAGCACATGTATCTACTCATGAAGAAGATCTTTATGTAATTCCCCACAGATATTTTTATGTATTGTACAAGCGCAACTGCCAAAAAAAAGATAATAAATTTTTTATGAAATGGTGTGTTTTTCTGCCGCATGAGTGTCGTTTGATGAAACGAATGACACTGTAAACGCCCACGGGGATTCACTCGCACAGGGAATTTAGTCATTTCGACTGTTTACATGATATTTTGGGGTTCAAGTGCACGAGCTGTTGGACGAGTTTCAAAGCTCACAAATTTACGTAAAAGTTTAAATATATGTAGAGCGAGCTCTGTCAGCAGGTAAGACGGAACATGTGATTAGGTTTGTTTGCGGTTGACAGAAGTCCCCAGTTTATGTAACGTGACTAACAATGATCAGAAAATATGGGATATCTAGTATGACCAGTTTGACCAAACAATGGGATTTAAAGAGATGCAAAAATGTTGATTGACAGGTCGTTGACAACGTGAAAGGATACAAATATGCTAACAGACAACTTGTTCATGACAACAAATACCTAATAATTCAAGTCTGTAGGCATTTGTAAACATTTTTAATTAAAATCGAACACACAATCAATTCTTTGTTCTACATTGTTACAGATAATTTCATCGATTCGACGTGGGATGCGACCAACAAAAAACCTAAATTGTGGATGAGAATTTTTAAAAACTATGTTATCAGTAATCAACATTTTTTAATCTCCCAAAAATGACCTAAATCTACAAATTTTCTGAGACGCCGGTAATAAATTTAAAATAATATTTGAATTCTGATTAGGAGTACCACGTAAAAATTACTAAAACACGTAAATATTTGAACCGGTTAAATCCGTAAACAAAAGGTACAGTATATTCACCTAAATTGGGTAAAAATTTAGAATATTGTATCATTCTGGCACAACTGTCGTGCGTCGTTGCAAAGTCAATAAAAGAAACCAATTTTATTAAATCATGCTGGTATTTACAAAACAGTCCACAGCTTTAGCAGGTCATGACCTTGTAAGAATTTTAATTATACTATGTTATTATTAAAATGAAAATGGTTTTAACAAGGAATACAAGGATGAATTTTCATTAATTGAAGTAAAAATCTCCAGCAAAAATGCGACAAATTTAGTCTTTCAAGTCCGGAGAAAACTAGAATGTTAACTCATTTTTCTCGGGAACGAAAATGTTCCAGTGCAAATACCCGATGAATAGTCACGATTGAAGCAAATTTTTGTGTTGGCAGTTTTGAATTATTGGTAGCCATGCTAACATGGAAGTTCCCAGTTGTCAATTTTGAGATGAACACCCCTCACGAACTTGTTGACGATGACATCAAAAAATTTAAAATATGTTGCCAACCAGACAAAAAAGACAAACATTAATATTCACTCAGTATATTTAAAAATACGTCGTGCTCTAAGTTGGTATTGGCAAGTAGAAGTCAAATGTAATAACAAATTATGTAGATAGTATACAAAAATGGAATCGAAACGACACTTTAATGTCATTTGACAGTTACGGTCAAATAAGTATCAAATGAACCGTCAAATAGAAACAACGCCAACTTTATTATTTTAAAAATTAATTTCATGGCTTACTGAACGACTTTTCGATCATGTAGTATGGTACCTACAAGGCTTTCATATTAATGTTTGATATCTAGTAGGCCATGGATTTTTAAAATCAGTTGGTACTTCCTACGCATCACTGCGCACGTCAAATATCAAATTGAAGTTTAGAAACTGTCAGTTCAGTAGCACCAATTTACAAACAAAATGCAAGGCGTACTAGATATCAAACGTTAATGGAAGTCCTGTCGAAATATAAGGGGCATTTTAGAAAACTTTGTGTCAGTTTTCGAAATTTAGGAAAGAAAGTTTGATATGTTTCAGAAATAAAACTTCTGTTTAGAAAAGAAACTTTTAAAATACTCCGGAAATTTGTCTGTTTTCATTCTATCGATTCGGGAAAAATTGTCGGAATTTGAAAGAAATGAAGCCATTATACAACTCGAAATCCACAAGAAAATGATTTTCAGTAATTTGGAAGCTAAAAAACGGGTAAAATGTATTGAAAAAATGAAATTTTTGAAAAGTTGCCTAGAAATCCTCAACATTCTGGAAATCCTAAAAAAAAAAACAAGTATCTCAAAATTATGATTTTACATTTTATCGATTCTGGAAAAATTGTCAGAATTTTCAAAAAAATGAAGCCGGCTAAAGTAACTTCTACAAATCGACATCCAGAAGGGTGCTCGAAAAACGATCAAAAAATCATACGAATAATAAGTCAGAATTTTGGAAAGTTGTCTAAAAATTCTCAAAAATTTGTGGGAAATACATTTGGACAACTTGAGTGGAAAAACATAAACTTAGTTCATTTTACAATAACCCTGTCAAATTTAGGATAATGTTGGATGCCTGTGATATTGTATGATGAAAACATTTGGCACGTTGTCAATTTTTTAAACTGTCAAATTTTCAAATCATGCCTGGTAGAAAAAAGGCAACATTATTAAAGAAAGATGTTCATTTGACGGTTTCAAACACTCAAAAAAAGATAAATGTGACCTTCAGAGGGTAAATGCAACGTGAACCCGCTCAAAAATTTTCAAAAAATTTGGCGTGATAATGGAAATTTTAAAATATCTCGAAAATTGTCTGAAAAAATTGTTAAAATTTTCGAAAAATGAATCCAAAACCAACTTTTACAAGTCGAAATGGACAAAAAAATGTCTTTGAGTAATTTTCGAAGAGTAGCATGCGGGGAGTTTTGAAAAATTGAAATTTTTCAGGAGTTGCCCAAAAATGTTCAAATATTTCTGGAAATACATGAGGTGATTCTAAAAATATAACTTGTTAATGGTTCTGAACCAAAATTATGAAACGTTTTCGAAAAAACTCTGTTTGAATTGTCATTTTCAAAATTTAAATATGCCTCAAAAAGAAAATGGTTCCCCTGTCCTTTTTTCTTTATATGTGTAGCCTTCACTACAAGAAAGGTAAAACATGTTTAAAATGATAAATTTTTGTAGGAAAGTATCGATTTTGCAATTAGGCTCCGCCCCTCAGTCTGACAACCAATGAAAAATTCATCACAATTGAGCTTGGGATGGATATGGGTGGGGCTTAATTTTTGGCTTGTTTTTTTTCTTAATATACATAGTATTCTTTGAACAACACGATACTCGATATTTGTTGTAGAGAAATAGAAAGGATTTTGCAATTAAGCTCCGCCCCTTTGGCTCATCATCATCACAATTGAGATAGAGCGGGTGGGCGGGGCTTACATTTTTCCTTGTTTTCTTAATATGTGTAGTCATCTTTTCACAACAAGAAACGTAAAACATGTTTAAAATGGTAAATTTGTATAGGGAAATATCGATTTCGGAATTACGCTCCGCCCCTTGGTCTGACACCGAATGAAAAATTCATAGCGATTGAGATCGAGACGGATGAGTGGGGCTTCTCTTTTGGTTTTCTTTTTTAGTTAATACATTTAGTTGTTTTTGTATAACAGGATTATTTAAGAACATACTTCACATAGTAATTTCTCGTAGAAAAATAAGGATTTTACAGTTAAGCTCCGCCCCTCGACTTACGACGAATAAAAAAAATCATCAGAATTGAAACGGGGCGGGTGGGCGGTACTTATATTTTGCTTCTTTTTTTTCATAATGCACATAGCCATCCTGTCACAACAAGAAACTGAGAACATGGTTAAAATGGTACATTTTTGCAAGTATATATGGATTTTGCATTTATGGGGCGGAGCCTAATTGCAAAGTCGATATTTCCTTATACAAATTTTCTATTTTAAACATGTTTTAACTTTCATGCTGTGAAAGAAGTCTACACATATTAAAACAAAAAAGCAAAACGTAAGCCCGCCCACCCGCCCTATCTCAATTGTGATGATTTTTTTTTATTCGCCGTAAACCATGGGGGTAGAGCTTAACTGTAAAGTACTTATTTCTTCACAAGAAATTAGAAACATGTTTTTCAGTATCGTGTTGTTCAAAGAATACCATGTATATTAAGAAAAAAAGGGAAAAATAAACCCCGCCCACCCACCCCATCTCAATTGTAATGATTTTTTTTATCTTAGAAACTTGAAACATGTTTAACATGGTAAATTTTTGTAAAGAACTATGGATTTTGCAATTCGGTTCCGCCCCTAGGTCTGCCAACGAATGAAGCTCCGCCTTCTTTGCTCACGACTAATAAAAAAAATCATCGCAATTGTGATAGGGTGGGTGGGCGGGGCTTACATTTTGCCTTTTTTTCTTAATATGTGTATACTCATTTCGACAACAAAAAACTTAGAACATGTCTGAAATGGTAAATTTTTGTGGTAATCAACTTAAATCCTCCACTTTTCTTCTACAACCCCAATGACAATTTTCAGCTCTAAAAGCAACGTCAACAGCACGTTTATAAATCCCACTTAAAGATATAGAAATTGTGGATAGATAAAACTGAAAACTTACAATTTTAAGAAAAACATTCAACCTCCAATAAAAAAAAGTTGGAAAATCAACAAATTTATTACTATTTACCGTTTATTTTACCAAATGTAAAACCGAAGTAACTTATTTTATGTACTGGCTGTATAACAGGAAATTCCTGTCCCTATCTTTGAACCTTCTAATAAATAATCCCGTATACTATAACTTGCCTACAAATGAGAAATAAAAGTTAATAATTTAAACAACACAATGACTTTCTTCCTGTACACTGAAACAATTTCACAGTATTTTCGTGAATATTTTCAGTTATTTGAACTGACGAATGGGAAAAAAGCAGAAGTAAAAAATGACAAGTTAGACATAAACACTATGAAATTTGGTACATTATAAAGTGTTTAAACTTTTCTTTATCCCCATTGCCTTTAAATATCACGTCGACTCAAAAATTCGGATACGCACGTGATAATGGCATTTCCTCGAAAAAGGAACCCTTTTTGTTACGAACTGTGCCGCCACTGGCAACACTGATTACGCACGCCCACGAAGCATATGACATTACAAGTTTGTCACAGTTTTATTACCGTTGTGTGGTTGGCAGCAGTAATGACAGGTGATGACAGGTTTCAGGTAACAATGTTGTGTTTGGTATGTTGATGAATATTAAAAGTAATATAAACAAAGTTATTATTTATTATTTACGTAAGCAAATAAAGTAAAATGGATCCCGCCTTACTCAAAGAACGAGAATTATTTAAAAAACGTGCACTTACAACACCTACGTAAGTAAAATATGTTAACTTGGGTGTCCCAATTTTAGTCTCCTGTTTTTCGTATAGGGTAGAACGAAAAAAGACTGAATCACGACCAGAACCAGCACGAGATGATAGTAATAGTAGTAAGAGGTTCAAATCTTCCAGTAGTAGTGCCCCAAAATTGGATATCAACACGTAAGTATTCGAACTTCAAAAGTATCCATTTCGTTCATGTTCCAAATGTTATAGATATAAGACAGCCACGGGAAGTTCTCAGTATCGCTTTGGGGTCCTGGCCAAAATTGTAAAACATATGCGAAAGAGGCATCAAGAAGGAGAAACATATCCACTAACACTAGAGGAAATTTTAGATGAAACAAATCAACTAGATGTAGGAAACAAAGTTAAGCAAGTAAGTTTGTAAAAGCAATTTTGACATGATTTGATCCTGTTTTTTTTCAAAGTGGCTGCAAACAGAATCATTAATTGATAACCCAAAAATCGAAGTCTCTCCAGACGGGAAATTCTTATTCAAAGCCCCTTTTAAACTGAAAGATCGAAAAAGTTTACTAAAATTGTTGAAACAACAGGACTTGAAAGGTTTAGGTGGTGTGCTGTTGGATGACGTCATAGAATCGTTACCACATGCAGAGAAAGCGTTAAAGGTGATTTTATTAAAGAATTGTGAAATCCTCATCTTATTGCTTGTTTTAGGTGCTGCAAAATCAAAATGAAATAATTTTTATAATTAGACCTATAGATAAGAAAAAAGTATTATTTTACAATGACAGAACTGCCACGTTACCTATAGATGAAGAATTTCAGAAGTTGTGGCGTTCCGTTGCCGTGGACGCCATGGATGACGCTAAAATCGACGAATATCTAGAGAAGCAAGGAATCCGGTCGATGCAAGACCACGGCCCCAAGAAGCCAATCGCTCCAAAGAGGAACAAAAACACTAACCGCAAGAAAACATTCAAGAAACCAAGAGATAACGAGCATTTAGCAGACGTCCTTGAAACTTACTCAGACAACACTCTCACCCAAAAGAATACTGTATAATTTAAAAAATGTATAAATAAATTTGTATGTTACATATTTCCTGGTTGATTATTTGGGGAAATAGTTGTAGGCACTTGATAAGGCGTGAGATAATTTGGCTCTTCCTGTTGCTTCCAGTTATCAATTTTTTTATTGTGTGAAAGCGCGAATTAAAGATGGTTTTATGGGGGCTGGTTTTGTTGGGGATTTTAATTACAGTGAAGGGTGATGATCGTGGGGCCAGAGTGAGGAGAATTGTTGGCGGGGACCCTGCGATAGCCCCTCCTGAAGACGATCCTGTGGTTTTTACAAGGTTTAATGGTAAAAGTGCGAGGGTTTTGGGGGTGAGAGATCGGCCTCATTATGTTTTCCGTGGGGTTAGATATGGTCACTCGCCTGTGGGGAAGGAGAGATTCCTGGTAAATAACTGAGGGATGGTGTTTTTGCTTATCTTGTGATTTTTTTTTTTTTCAGAGGCCACGACAGTATTTTTTAGAAGGTTTTGAAAATGCAACACACTTCCCCCCTCCTTGTGTTCAGCCTGTTCCTGGTAAGGATACTGTACTGGGAAAGGAAGACTGCCTGTTTCTGAATATCTTCACTCCAACTCTTCCCACAGGAACCGAAGGTATAAATACGATAAATTTTGATCATAATTCCAACGTGTGTGTGTTTTTATAAATAAGAAAGCTCATAATTATAAAATAACACTGGAAGTTGTAAAAATACTGAGAAATTAAAATTTATGAATAGGTGTTGAGAGTATAGTTGGTTGCATATGGAGTTAATTATGTCAAATTAACAATATTTTTTTTATTTCTGAATTTTGTGTTATTTTTTTATATTTATAAATCATAAATTCTCAGCGACACCATTTTTAAAGATGGAGACTGGACTCTGATCAATAGTAACTTTGATGTTCAACTTTTGCCGTATTTAAAGGGCTTGTCGAAGAAAAGTGGAGGATTTAAGTTGATTACTTCAAAAATTTACCATTTTAGACATGTTTTAAGTTTCTTGTTGTCGAAATAAGTCTACACATATTAAGAAAAAAAAGGAAAAATGGAGCCCCGCCCACCTGCCCTGTCTCAATTGTGATAATTTTTTTTATTCGTCGTGAGCCCAGGGGGTGGAGCTTAACTGCAAAATCCTTATTCCTCTATGAAAAATTAAAAACATGTTTTTGGGTATCGTATTGTTCAAAGAATACTGTGGATATTAAGAAAAAAATAAAGCCGAAGATTAGACCCAACCCCGATCTCAATTCCTAATTGTGATTTTTTCATTCGTTGTCAGATCGAGGGGCGGGGCTTAATTGCAAGATCCATTTTTGTTTACAAGAATTTACCATCTTAAACAGATTTTAAATTTCTTATTCTGAAAAGACGACTACATATATTACGAAAAAGAACAAAATGTAAGTCCCGCCCACCCGCTCTATCTCAACTGTGATGATTTTTTTATCGTCGAGAGTCAAAGGAGTGGAATTTAACTAGAAAATCCTTATTATTTTTCTACAAGCAATTGCTAAGTAAGACATGTTTTTGAGTATCGTGTTATTCAAAGAATACTATGTATGTTAAGAAAAAATTAAAGCCAAAGTTTTCATTTGTTGGTAGACCTAGAGGCGGGGTCAAAATCCATATTTCCTTACAAAGATTTACCATTTTTAACGTGTTTTAAGTTTCTAAGAATTAAAAAATCATCACAATTGAGATGGGGTTGGTGGGCGGGGTTTTATATTTTGCTTTTATTCTTTGAATAACACAATACTCGAGAACATGTTTTTAATTTCATGTAAAGAAATAAGAATTTTGCAGTGAAGCTCCGTTCCCTTGATTCACGGTGAATACAAAAAATCATCACAATTGAGATAGGGCGGGTGGGCGGGGCTACATTTTTCCTTTTTTTCTTAATATGTGTAGACTTTTTTTGACAACAAGAAACTTAAAATCATGTTTAAAATGGAAAATTGTATAAGGAAATATCTATTTTGCAATTAAGTTCCGCCCCATAATTGCAAAATCCATATTTCTTTGCAAAAATGTACCATTTTAACCATGTTTAAAGTTTCTTGTTGTGAAAAGATCGTTATGTATATTAAGAAAATAAAGGCAAAATATAAGCCCCGCCCACCCGCCCTATCTCAATTCTGATGATTTTTTTTATTCGTTTGTAAAGTGAGGGGCTGAGCTTAATTGTAAAATCCGTATTTTTCTACGAAAAATGACCATGTGAAATATGTTTTTAAGTAATCGTGTTATGCAAAGAAAACTAAATGTATGAATTAAAAAAGAAAACCAAAAGACCAGCCCCACTCATCCGTCTCGATCTCAATCCTGATGAATTTTTCATTCGTTGCCAGACCGAGGGGCGGAGCGTAATTACAAAATTGGTATTTCTCTATATGTACAAATTTACCATTTTAGACATGTTTTAAGTTCCTTGTTGTCGAAATAAGTCTACACATATTAAGAAAAAAAGGAAAAATGTAGCGCCGCCCACCCGCCCTATCTCAATTGTGATATTTTTTTTATTCGTCGTGAGCCCAGAGGGTGGAGCTTAATTGCAAATCCTTATTCCTCTGTAAAAAATAAAAACATGTTTTTGAGCATCGTGTTGTTCAAAGAAAACTAAGGATGTATATTAAGAAAAAAATAAAGTCGAAGATTAGACCCAACTCCGATCTCAATTCCTAATTGTGATTTTTTCATTCGTTGTCAGATCGAGGGGCGGGGCTTAATTGCAAGACCCATATTAATTTACAATAATTTACCATCTTAAACAGATTTTAAATTTCTTGTTCTGAAAAGACGACTACGTGTATTACGAGAAAGAGCAAAATATAAGCCCCGCCCACCCGCTCTATCTCAATTGTGATGTTTTTTTTTATCGTCGAGAGCCAAAGGAGAGAAATTTAATTACGAAATCCTATTATTTGTCTACAAGCAACTCTACTAAGTAAGACATGTTATTCAAAGAATACTAAGTATATTAAGAAAAAATACCTGATATAAATAGTAATATAAATAGTAATAAAGTTTTCATTCGTTGGCAGACCTAGAGGAGGAGTCTAATTGCAAAATCCATATTTCCTTACAAAAATTTACGTGTTTTAAGTTTCTAAGAATAAAAAAATCATCACAATTGAGATGGGGTGAGTGGGCGGGGTTTATATTTTGCCTTTTTTTCTTAATATACGTAGTATTCTTTGAACAACACAATACTCAAAAACATGTTTTTAATTTCATGTAAAGAAATACCAGTTTTGCAGTTAAGCTCCGTTCCCTTGATTCACGGTGAATACAAAAAATCATCACAATTGAGATAGGGCGGGTGGGCGGGGCTACATTTTTCCTTTTTTTTTCTTAATATGTGTAGACTTTTTTTCACTACAAGAAACTTAAAACATGTTTAAAATGGAAAATTTGTATAAGGTAATATCGATTTTGCAATTAGGCAAATAAATGCAAAATCCATAAAGTTCTTGTTGTGAAAAGATGGCTATGTATATTAAGAAAATAAAGGCAAAATGTAAGCCCCGCCCACCCTCCCTATCTCAATTCTGATGATTTTTTTTATTCGTTGTAAGTTGAGGGGCGGAGCTTAATTGTAAAATCCGTATTTTTCTACGAAAAATGACCATGTGAAATATGTTTTTAAGTAATCGTGTTATACAAAGAAAACTAAATGTTTGAATTAAAAAAGAAAACCAAATGAGCAGCCCCACTCATCCGTCTTGATCTCAATCTTGATGAATTTTTCATTCGTTGCCAGACCGAGGGGCGGAGCGTAATTACAAAATTGGTATTTCTCTATACAAATTTACCATTTTAAACATGTTTAAGTTCCTTGTTGTCGAAATAAGTCTACAAATATTAAGAAAAAAAGGAAAAAAGTAGCCCCGCCCACCCGCCCTATCTCAATTGTGATGATATTTTTATTCGTCGTGACTAAGGGGGTGGACCTTAACTGCAAAATCCTTATTTCTCTATGAGAAATTAAAAAAAATGTTTTTGAGTATCGTGTTGTTCAAAGAATACTACGTATATTAAGAAAAAAATAAGGCCAAAGGTTAGACCCAACCCATACCCACCCCGATCTCAATTCTCAATTGTGATTTTTCATTCGTTCTTAGATCGAGGGGTGGGGCTTAATTGCAAGACCCATATTTGTTTACAGAATTTACCATCTTAAACAGGTTTTAAATTTCTTGTTCTGAAAAGATGACTACACATATTACAAAAAAGAGCACAATGTAAGCTCCGCCCACCCGCCCTATCTCAATTGTGATGATTTTTTTAACGTCAAGAGCCAAAGGAGTGAAATTTATTACAAAATCCTTATTATTTCTCTACAAGCAATTCTACTAAGTAAGACATGTTTTTGAATATCGTGTTATTCAAGTAAGTATATTAAGAAAAAATTAAAGCCAAAGATTAAGCCCCACCCATACCTGCCCTGATTTAAATAGTAGTAAAGTTTTCATTCGTTGGTAGACTTTGAGGCGGAGTCAAAATTCATATTTCCTTACAAAAATGTACGTGTTTTAAGTTTCTAAGAATAAAAAAAATCATCACAATTGAGACAGGGCGGGTGGGCGGGGCTACATTTTGCCTTTTTTTCTTAATATACGTAGACTTTTTTTCACTACAAGAAACTTAAAACATGTTTAAAATGGAAAATTTGTATAAGGTAATATCGATTTTGCAATTAGGCAAATAATTGCAAAATCCATAAAGTTTCTTCTTGTGAAAAGATGGCTATGTATTTTAAGAAAATAAAGGCAAAATATAAGCCCCGCCCACCCGCCCTATCTCAATTCTGATATTTTATTTTTTTATTCGTTGTAAGTTGAGGGGCAGAGCTTAATTGTAAAATCCGTATTTTTCTACGAAAAATTATCATGTGAAATATGTTCTTAAGTAATCGTGTTATACAAAGAAAATTAAATCCTGATGAATTTTTTATTCGTTGTCAGACCGAGGGGCGGAGCTTAATTGCAAAATCCTTATTTCTCTACAAGAAATAAAACATGTTTTTGAGTGTCGTGTTGTTTAAAGAATACTATGTAATTAATTAAAAAACAAGCCAAAAATTAAGCCCCACCCATATCCATCCCAAGCTCAATTGTCATGAATTTTTCATTCATTGTCACACTGAGGGGCGGAGCCTAATTGCAAAATGGATACGTTTCTACAAAAATGTACCATTTCTTGTTGTGAAAAGAAGACTACACACATTTAAGAAAAAAGGGCCAAATGTAAGTTATGGTGGAGTTTTTAAATGAGAGACCGAAGAAGGCGATAAATCGAAACCGGTACACCTAGAATTCAAAGTAAATAATTTTTTTGAACTGGATGTCCAAATTTGATATAACGGCATTCGGTTAACACTGGCATATTTGTTAGCTTCCTTTCTATTTTTCAACAGTCTTATAAGTGCCCCAAAATCTGTGTTAAAAATACCAAATCCACTTGACGACAACTTCTACCACATCCGCTCTACTCCCACACAGCTTTCGCACGCTCTTATCAGCTTGGGAATAAGAATACTTTTCCTTATATTCACGTCAGTCATAACATTTCTTGCATAACCTTATCTAATTTTTAATACTAGAATTACAGCAGTTGTTTCCACAAGATAAAAATATTATCTAGCTAGTAGCTGGTCATGAATTCTGCACATATTTTATATCAATAAACAATACACTCTTTTATTATCTATTAAAAACATTTTTTGGTTCTTCAGTTTTCCTATTTGCAATTTTCCGAGCTTTCATATTTAAATTCTTCAATTATATAGATTAAAAAAGAAAACATTGTAAATTTTGGAGATGACGTCATTCCATTGGCGGTGGGAATGAGTAACCAAATTTTGGTTGGCGTTTTACCATCATATCATGTAATAAATTGAATTGTGAGTGTGAGTAGAAGCTCAAAAGTCTCAAAACTCTTAATAAAAAATGTATTTAACAAAATTTGGTTTTCGCTTCTATTTATTGGATTTATTAAATAACCAAAATAAAATGCTTGTTTAAACTTGTGTGGAGTTTAAACACCTTAGACAAAGTCAAAAAAACTAACAAGGTTTTCAAAAATTTTTTGGTAGTCAAACTGCAAAATTTAACCAGTTAAACGCTAAATAATAAATTTAATCAAATTCCAGTTTGCAAAAAACTTGAATAAACATGTTAAAGACACTATATGTTGTCAGTTTATACTCACTTTTGATATATTAGGTCTTCCTGTCATTGTCTGGATACACGGTGGAGGTTTTCGTTACGGTTCCGCCTCGCAATATGGAGTAAGTTACCACGATTTCAATTTTTCTAATATTACCACACTTTCCCAATCATCAATAAGGTTCGCCACCTCGTCGGAAAACAAGTCGTGGTAGTCACAATCCAGTACCGCCTAGGCTCACTAGGTTTCCTCAGCACCGGTACCAAAACCCTTCCTGGTAACGCCGCGCTTTGGGACATGGTACTAGCGGTCCAATGGACCCGCAACTACATCGGCTTTTTCGGGGGCAACCCCCACAGAATCGTAGTTATGGGACACGGGTCGGGGGCCAGTAGCGCCATCATGGTAGCCCTGTCCAACGTAGCCAAAGGCCTAACCAGCGGAATTGTAGCAATGTCAGGATCATCACTGTCCCGTTTTGCTGTCGACGACGCCCCAAAAAGCACAGCGGTGGAAGTGGCAGACGCCAACGGTTGTCCCACTGGGTCCGAACTCACCATGGTCCGATGCCTACAAAATCTATCACCGGCTTCAATAATCAAAGTAGATTCTTCTATTGAAACCGAACGCATGACGAAACAAGGCTTCCTTTCTGGGTTAGCTGGAAAACTAGGGTCCGCTCCTGTTTTCGAAGGTAGAAGAGACGGTCGTTCGTTGCCCCCCGTCTCCGAAAAGGAACCACTCAACGATCCAGATTCCTCCCACTCGAAGATACCGTTGTTGACGGGGATAACCAAAGATGAAACGAAGAGGGCCTGCCAGAACCAGTTCAAAGACGAAATTATCAAGAACTTGAAAAAGATTCCCGACTTTTTGGACAAAGTGGTTGTGAAGAATTTGCAGAGTGCGCTAGGAATAGAGTTCAACAAGAACACGAGTGCTGGAAACTTGTTAGGGCTTTTGGATACCAACCAGTTCAAAAATTACTTGAGCTACCAAAAGGATAACCTCGTTCAAGGGTTGGGGAAGATATCCGAAGCTACGAGTGATGCTTTATTCAATGTTCCTGCGTTGTTAACAGCAGACGCTTGGTCCAAACAAGACGCACCTTCGTTCCTCTACAGGTTCGAGCACGCCGGGAAGCTGGGAAAAGGGTCCAATTTTTTGAAAGGTTTACCACTTATTGGGAATACCAGTCAAAGTAACATTACTCACTTAAAATTGTTCCTACTATATGTAATTGTCTTCCAGGTGATGCCTCAGACGGGACTGTGTCTCACGGTGACGAACTAGCTTACCTTTTTGAGTCACAAGACATGGAAGGCCGTTCCATACAGTCAGATTCTGGAAATCCAGACGACGACAGAGTTCGTGAATTTTTCACACAGATGGTGACAGATTTTGCCCGTTTTGGTAAAGTTCGTTTAGGCAACCAAGATGTGAAGCCTTTTTCCATCAAGGATAACAATTTTATTGAAGTCAGTCCCAAACCTAAGGTTTCGCGCGATTTTAGGTATTGCGAAATGGGGCTGTGGTTGGGTTTAGCTCAAAGATTGCAAAGTAACACTTGCAAATTGTTTCAAGTGCTCGATGCCACTCCTTTGGGGACTTTGGGAAGTGGAACTCAGAAACTTGGACAAACTATCGGAAAGGTTGGAGGTGATTCCAAGAAGCTTCTGCCGTCGCTTGGCATTGGACGTTGAGACCATTTTATTTTGCTTATAAATGTTCTGACATATTGTAATTCGGATATGTAGAGGAAATAAATGCTTATTTAATTTTATTATGGACATCTAGGGGTGACATAGACCCACCAAAAACAAGTTAAAAAAAAATTCAAACTGTTGGAGGATCGATTAGTAAATTGGCATATGAATCTTTGATACTTGGAATTAGGTTATGAAACACCAATTAATGAACAGCAATTTATTTATGAAGATTTTATTTTTCATTCTTTCCACACTTTTATGCCAATTTTTGCAAGGTTAAGCGAATCAAAAATGTGTAATTTTTCAATGCTAGAAAATCTAAATTGTGTTTGATTATAATATCAAGAATTTCGGAAAAGATTTGCCCTAATTTTTGTTGTTTATCGTTCATTTTACTTCCTTTACAACTTTTAGACGGTAAAATATCAATGTAGAGTTTTCCAGAAATTTTGTTGAAAAATGATCACTGCGTCTAAAATCACGTAATTTATTCCAAGTTGTTCGCAACAAATTCCTAGCTTTGACAATATCTGTGAATGAACTTATTTTACAAAACATATGAGAGAGTACAACATTTCTAGAAAATACACTTGTTTCAGACTTTTTCTGTTCTTTTAAATTCTGTCAAATTCCCTCAGATTTTGTCAGAATGGCTCATCTCCTTGCAGATCGTTTCAGATCCTTTCAAATTTTTCCAGATCACTTCAGATGCTTTAAGATCCCTACAGACTGTTACAAATTCTTCAAATTTTTTCTAGAATCTCTCAAACACTCTCAGATTCCTTCAAGTTTGTCTAGATTCGTCTAGATTCCCTGAGATGATAGATTTCTTCCGATCTTTTCTGATCATTTCAGATTCTTTCCGATTTTTTGCTTGATATTCCCTCAGATTCTTCAAGATTCTTTGTGATGCTTTCAGATTCTTCCGTTTTTTTACGACTCTTTTTTTCGGATTCTTTTGGATTCTTTCAGATTATTCCAATTTTTTTCGGATTATTCCGGATGCTTTCAGGTTGTTTCAGATTTTTTCAAAAATACCGTCAGAAATCGTGAAGACTTTCAAATTGTTCAGTTCTACTCACACGTTTCAGGTCTTTACAGATCCTTTCATCTCTTCTAAAATGTTCCACATTTTTCTAGATTTTTCGAGATTTTTCGAGATGCTCTCAGATTCTCCCAAATTCTCGCAGATTTCTTCAGATCCCTTCAGATTCTTTCCGAATCTCACAATTTCTCTCAGACTCCCCCAGATTTTTTCAGATTGTCTCAGATTCCTTCAGATTATTTCTTTCTCCTCTAAGATTCTTTGAAATTTTTTCAGATTTTCGTAGATTCCCGCATATTCTCTCAGAATTTTTTACATTTCAGATCGTTTCAGGTGATACTTCCAAATTTTTCTAGATTTCTTCAAATCCCTGCAGAAACATCTAGATTCTTTCAGATTTTTGTAATTTCTTAAAAATTCTTCGAGATTTCTCAAAAATTTTCCCATATTCTTTTAGATTCTTTCATTTCTTTTACGGGTTTTTTTGGATTATTTCTGATTGTGTTTCAGATTCTTTCAAATTCTGGTTACTTTCGGATTGTTTCATATTCTTTCAAATTTTTCACTTCTATTCAGACGTTTCAGATGCTTCCAGATTTTTGTAGATTCTTTAAATTTGTTCTGGATTTTTTCAGATTCGTCGAGGTTCTCTCAGATTCTCACAGGATCCTCAAATTACTTCAGATGCTTTTCGCATCTCCCAATTTCTCTCACATTTTCACAGATTCCCTCAGATTCCTCTGGATTCCTTCAGATTCTTTCCGAATCTCTCAGATTCTCTCGGATTTTCTGTTTCCTTTGCATCCTTTCAAATTCTTTCAGATTTCTTAAAATTTTTTCCGATTTTCACAAGTTTCCTCGGAATCTTTCAATTTCTGTCATATTCTCTCAGATTCCCTCAAATTCTTTCAAATTCTCCCAAATTCTTTCAGAATCTCGTAGATTCCCTCAGATTCTGTAAATTTTCTTCAGATTCTCTCATATTTTCATAGAATTTTTCGCCTTTCAAGCATTTCAGATGCTTCCAGATTCTTTCAAAGTTTCCAGATCGCTTCAGATCGCCGCAAACTCTTTCAATTACTTCCAAATTTTTCTAGATTCTTCGAGATACTCTCAATTCCTTTCAGATTCTCCACAAATTCTCACAAATTTTTTTACATCTCAAATCGTTTCAGATGATCCCTTCAAACTGTTCCAGATTTCTTCACATCCCTCCAGACATTTCTTGGTTCTTTCAGACTTTTTTAAATTCTTCGAGATTTTTCGAAATTTTTCGAGATTCTCACAGGATGCTCAGATTTCTTCAGATTCTTTTCGAATTTCCCAATTTCTTTCATGTTCTCTCAGATTTCCCCAAATTCGTTCAAATTCCCCCAGATTCCTTGAAACTCTTTCTGAATCTCTCGGATTCTTCCAGTCTCTCCAATTCTATCAATTTTCTTCAAAAGTTTTTTCGATTCTCTCAGATCCCTCACATAATTTTTTACCTTTCAAAGCGTTACAGATGCTTCCAGACCCTTTCAGATTTTTCTAGATCACTTTAGATCGCTGCAAACTCTTCCAAATTTTTCCAGATATTTCAAGATACTCTCAGATCCTCTTAGATTCTTCACATATTCTCACAGTTTCCTTAGATTCTCTCATATTTCTTCAAATCCTTTCAGATTCTTTCCGCGTGTCTCAGATTCTTTCCGAATCGTCCACTTTCTCTCTCATTTTCCCTCAGATTCTTTCAAATTCTCCCAGATTCCTTCAGATTCTTTCAGGATCTCTCAGATCCTCTCGGATTTTCTCAGATTTCCTTATATTCTCTCAGATTCCTGCAAGTTTGTTCCGATTCTCTCAGATTCTCTCATATTCCCTCAGAATTTTTACATGTTCCAGATTTCTTCATATCCCTCCAGACACTTCTAGATTCTTTCAGATTTTTTTAAGTTCTTCGAGATTCTCTCAGATTCTCCCATATTCTTTCAGATTCTTTCATTTTCTTTACGATTTTTCCTTTCGGATTCTTTTGAATTTTTTCTGATTGTCTCTTTCAATTTTTACTTCCCGAGCGTAAGCAAAGGAAGTATTGTAATCGAGTCCGTCGGCCGACTCTCTACTTTTACGTTTTCTCGATCTTTCATGACCCCTAGAAGACGAAGAAATAGGTCTCCCATTTCCGTCTGTCTGTCCGTCTGTCCGTCTGTCCGTCCGTTCGTCCGTCTGTCCGTCTGTCCGTCTGCCCCCGGATTTTTATTAGACAGATAATCTCCGAAAGTACTCGACCGATTGTTGTGAAATTTTGTACTTATATTAAGAATATCATGTAGATGGTAAAACGCTAACCAAAATTTGTCTAATCATCCCCACCACTAATGCGATGACGTCACTTCAAAATTGTACATAGTAAATGGGTTTTCAATTGTATAAAATAACATAGTCCTACACATGTAGTTTACAACTCCCAATCGACTTTTCACCCGAAACGTCCAGATTTTTGGAAAAAAAATCAAAATTATAAAACAACATTTTGAAATTTAATTTTTAATCTGCTAACCAGAATGCTTTGAAATGTTGCAGATGTTTTAAGGCTATAAAGAGCATCATAAATCTTTAGTCAAAAAATATTTGCTTACCCCCTCCAAAAACTTGATGACGTCAGCTCAAAAGTTTGTGGAATAAATCATATCTAAAATGTACAAAATATGATGAGTTTGTACTTGTGATTTATCATTCCATTCATATTTTTGGATTTGCATATGCAGGGTGACTCAAAAAAATTAATGAAGGCGTGAATTTATTTTATCGATTTAATCAGGAATTACAAAACCGAATGCTTTGAAATCTTGGGAATATTTTAATGTTATTATAAGCATGGTAAACTTTTGTTCAAAATGTATTTGTTCATCCCTCCTAAAAAAATTGATGACGTCACCCTTAAATTTTGCTGAATAAACCCTATCTAAAATGCAAAAAATATGATGAGTTTGTACTTGTGATTTATCATTCCATTCATATTTTTTAGATTTTCTTAAGAGGTGGTTCAAAAAAATTAATGAAGTCAATTTATTTTATTGATTAAATTAAAGGCAACACTTATTATTAGTATTACACCCCAACCAACCCAATTTGGTAGACACAAAATTTGTTAAAGGAAAAACTCGGTTGAAACATAAGGGTAGCATCGCTTATTTACATCGACTTTAACATTACAGACCTGCATTTGTTTTATGCGATCACTTGGTTCCGCGAATGTGAAATAGACATGTTTATAATCAACCAATTGTGAATTTCACCGTCAAGAATTAAAATAAAACCCAATGTTTTATATAATAAGCGGAAGTCGAAGCAATAAAACCGATGGTCGTTTTGTTTACAGTTTCTCTGTTTGACTTTCACGTATGCTGTTACGCTTGTCATCTTAAATTAAGAATGTTTATACATAAACGATTTTCAGTTGCCGTATACGCGAGTAAATTGTTTCGTTATTTTATTGATTATAAAAAATCAATATTCAAAACGACCCAATTCATTTTCCCGAAAATTTGGGAATACAATAATTTTATTCTTAGTATTACACTACATCTATCCCAACTGATATACGTGTCCTTGCAAAAATGTTGATGACGTCATCGCAATTTTTTTTAAATTCCCACTACAAAAATGTAATGAGAAAAAAACACAATAGCCATGCAGTCGTCAAGTTTCCGACAGCGAGGGAAGTACTGTCTAAACTCTTTAGACCAATTTTTTTTATTTTTTTTTCCGGTTCATTCCGATTATTCTGGCTGCCATTGGATGCTTTCGGATTGTTTCAGAATCTTTCGAATTTTTTCAGATTTTTTTCCCTTAAGGTTCTTTCAAATTTTTCAGTTCTATTCAGACATTTCAGATTCTTACAGATCCTTTCAGATCCCTGCAGACTCTATCTAATTCTTCCAGATGCTTCCAGATTTTTCTAGATTCTTTTAAATTGTTCTAGATTCTTTGACATTCGCGAATCTCTTAGATTCTCTCAGATTCTCATAGGATCCTCGGATGTCTTTAGATTCCTTCAAATTCTTTTCGAATCTCCCAATTTCGCTTATATTCTCTCAGATTCCCTCATATTCCTTCAAATTCCTTCAGATTCCCCCAGATTCCTTCAAATTCTTTTCGAATCTTTCGGATTCTTTCGGTTTTTCTCAGTTTCCTTTACATTACCACAAATTCTTCCAGATCCTTTCACATTTTTTCCAGATCGCTTCAGATCTCTGCAGACTCTTTCAAATTTTTCGAGACACTTCAAGATTCTCTCAGATCGTCCCAGATTCCTTCAGATTGTCCCAAATTCTTCAGATTGTCCCAGATTTTTTGATTTTCTTTACAATTCTTCCGTTTGGATTCTTTCTGATTCTCGCTTTCAAATTCATTTGTTTTTTTTTATTCTTTCGGCTTATTCCGGATACTTCTTTCCGAATCTCACAATTTCTTTCATATTCTCTTAGATTCCTTTAGATTCTTTCAGATTCTCTCAAATTCTTTCAGAATCTCTTATATTCTCTTTCAATTTTTTTCGAATTCTCTTAATTTTTTTCGGATTCTCTTAGATTCTCTCAAATATATTCTATTGGAATTTTTCACCTTTCACAGCGTTTCAGATGCTTCCAGATCCTTTTAAATTTTCCTAGATCGTTTCTGATCATTGCAAACTCTTCCAAATTCTTCCAGATTTTTCGAGTTACTCTCAGGTCCTCTCAGATTCTCCACAAATTCTCACAGGTTTTCTCAGATTTTTTCAGATACTTTCAGATTCTTTCCGAATCTCCCACTTTCTCTCCCATTCTCTCATTTTGCCTCAGATTCTTTAAGATTTTCCCAGATTCTTTTAGATTCTTTCAGAATCTCTCAGATCCTCTCGGATTCTCTCAAATTTCCTCAGATTCTCTCATATTCTCTCAGAATTTTTTACATATCAGATCGTTTCAGATGATCCTTTTAAACTGGTCCAGATTTCTTCATATCCTTCCAGAAACTTCTAGATTCTTTGAGAATTTTCGATATTCTCTCATATTCTTCCAGATTCTTTCATTTTCTTTACGATTATTCCTTTCGGATTTTTTTGGATTCTTTCTGATTGTCTCTTTCAAGTTTCGATTTTTTCAGATTCATTCCGATTATTCCGGCTGCTTTTGGATGCTTTCGAATTCTTTCAGATTCTTTCGAATTTTTTCAGATTTTTCAAAACATCGTCAAAGATCCTGAAGGTTCTTTTAAATTTTTCAGTTCTATTCAGACGTTTCAGATTCTTACAGATCCTTTCAGATCCCTGCAGACTTTACCAAATTCCTCCAGATTTTTCTAGATTCTTTTAAATATTTTTAGATTTTTCCAGATTCTTCGAGAATCTCTTAGATTGTCTCAGATTCTTACAGGATCCTCAAATTGCTTCAGATTCTTTTCGAATCTACCAATTTACGAATTACTAGGAGTTTTATAAAGTTTAAAATTTCTGCAATTTCTAGGATCATTAGTACCCCCAGGTTCTTTAAAATTTTTAAGATTTTTTGGAATTTTTAGAATCTCTAGAATCACTAGAATTTCTATAACCTTTAAAGCTTTCAGATTTTCATTAACCTTCAGTATCTCCAGAATTTCAAATATTTTTAGATCTTTAGAATTTTTATCATGTTTCCAATTTTTAAATATTTGGAATCTGTGGAATCTTCGAAGTTTTTGAAATCCTTGAAATCCCTTTAGAATTTCTAAATTGCCGGCTCCTAAAGCTTATTTTAATTTTTGAAAATTCCTGAAATCCCTGTAGTCCTTAGAATTTTTTGCATCATTGAAAGCCTTAAAACCTTTGAAAGGGTTGTAATATTTTGGACTTTCACAACATTTGGAATCTTTCCACAAATTCGGTCAGAATTTTAGTATTTCTGTAATTTGTAGAATTAACATTGTGCATATTTTACATTTATTCGGCAAAATTGTAAGATGGCGTCATCGATTTTATCAGACAAATTTTGGTTAGGATTTTTTGAGATTTTCCGAAGGACACAAAATGACCAAAATTTCCACATTTTACAAAATTTCTAAAACTATCAGGCCCCAGTTATACCAGAATTTTGAAATTCAACCTTTTCTAATATTTTCAAGATTTCTAGGTCTTTCAAATATTTCCCACACATTCTAAATTTTTCAGATTTTCTAAAATTTATAGATCTCAAGAGATCTTTGGAATTTTTTTCAGAATCTCTTATATTCTTTCAGATTCCCTTAGATTCTCTCATTTTTTCAATATTTTCCGATTCTCTCAGATTCTCTCAAATATATTCTGTTGGAATTTTTCACCTTTCACAGCGTTTCAAATGCCTCTAGTTCCTTTCAAATTTTTCTAGATCGTTTTAGATCGCTGCCAACTCTTCCAAATTCTTCCAGATTTTTCCAAATCGTTCTCTTAAATTCTCCACAAATTCTCACAGGTTTCTTCAAATTTCTTCAGATACTTCCAGATTTTTTCCGAATCTCCCATTGTCTCTCCTATTCTCTCATTTTCCCTCATTCTTTCAGATTTTCCCAGATTCCTTTAGATTCTCTCAGATTCTCTCATATTCTCTCAGAATTTTTTACATCTCAGATCGTTCCAGATGATCTTTTCAAATTGTTCCAAATTTCTTCACATCCCTCCAGACACTTCCAGATTCTTTCAGATTTTTTCAGATTTTTCGAGATTTTTCGAGGTTCTCTCAGATTCTCCCATATTCTTCCAGATTCTTTCATTTTCTTTACGATTCTTCCTTACGGATCCTTTTGGATTCTTTCTGATTGTCTCTTTCAAGTTTCGAATTGTTTCAGATTCTTTCGAATTTTTTCAGATTTTTCAAAACATCGTCAAGGATCCTGAAGGTTCTTTCAAATTTTTCAGTTCTGTTCAGACGTTTCAGATTCTTACAGATCCTTTCAGATCCCTGCAGACTTTACCAAATTTCTTCAGATTCTTTTCGAATCTCCCAATTTCTCTCATATTCTCTCAAATTTCCCCAGATTCCTTCAAATTCGTTCAAATTCCCCAGATTCTTTCCCATTTTTCAGATCCCCTCACATTCTCTCATAATTTTTTACCGTTCAAAATGTTTGAGATGCTTCCAGATCCTTTCAAATTTTTCCAGATCGCTACAGACTCTTCCAGATTCTTTCAGGTTTATCGAGATTCTTCGAGATTCTTTCAAATTTTCTCAGATTCTCTCAGATTTCCTCAGATTTTCCCAAATTCTTTCTTTTTTTTTATTTTGATTTTTTTTTCGGATTCTTTCTGATTATCTATTTCAGATTCTTTCAACTTTTTCAAATTCTTTCGAACTTTTTCAGATTTTTCAGACACCGTTAGGGCTCCTCAAGATTTTTTTATATTTTTCAGTTCTATTCAGACGTTTCATATTCTTACATTTCTTTCAGATCCCTGCAGACCTTATCAAATTCTTCTAGATTTTTCCAGATTCTTTCAAATTTTTTTAGACTTTTTCCAGATTCCTTGAGACTCTCTTAGATTATCAGATTCTCACAGAATCCTCAGATTTCTTCAGATTCTTTTCGAATCTCCCAAATTCTCTCATATTCTCTCAGATTTCCCCAGATTCCTTCAAATTCGTTCAAATTCCCCCAGTTTCTTTCCGATTCTCTCAGATCCCCTCATATTTTCTGATAATTTTTTATCTTTCAAAGCGTTTCAGATGCTTCCAGATTCTTTCAAATTTTACCAGATTCTTTCAGATTTATCGAGATTCTGCGAAATTCTTCGAGATTCTTTCAAATTTTCTCAGATTCTCCCAGACTCCCTCAGATTTTCCCAGATTCTTTCACTTTTTTTTATTTTGATTTTTTTCGGATTCTCTCAGATTATTCCGAATGCTTCTGGATGCTTTCAGCCTGTTTCAAATTTTTTAGAATTATTTCAGATGTTTTTCAAGGACACCGTCAGGAATCCTCAAGATTCTTTCAAATTTTTTAGTTCTATTTAGATCGTTTCAGATCTTCACATTCATTCTTTCAGATCCCTATATACTCTTCCAAATTCTTCCTGATTCTTCCAGATTTTTCTAGATTCTTCGAGATACTCCCATTTCTCTCAGATTCTCCACAGATTCTCACAGGTTTCCTCAGATGCTATTAGATTCCCTCGGATTCTGTGAGATTCTCTCTCAACACATACCCGTTATGGGTGCATTATGGACGGCTTACATATTAAACGGCATCAGTTTTGTGTACACTACCCGGGCACGATTCAAGTCTGTCTCTGTGTGGTGCGTTGAATCTCAGTAATCTCAGTGTTTAATTATGGGCACAGTGAATACCTACCTAGCAAGATAAGAATAACAATAATTTTTCACATTTATTTTTAAAATATTAAAAAAAAAATTGAGCGGTCAAAAATAATAAAAATAGTAATAGTGTCGTAAAACCGTCTGTCACAATGCATTTACCGCCGCCTAGTCAATAGTTAATTTGTTTCGGACATATTTTACAACAATTTATAGTGTTTCTGAAATGAAATGTGACCCTAGGTCGTAAATTTAATAATAGTTATTTTTAGCTAAAACTACATTTTGGATATTTCTTCATCGTGTTGATCCTTGTTACTTTGCTGGTATTAAAAGTACAAACTCTTATAAAACACATTTATTGAAATATAAAATTTATGAAATACATAAAATAAATACTTATTCTGTAAATTATCTGACTCTTAACTTTTTATAAACGAAATTTGACAGCCACAGGGTGCCAGTGAAGAAGTGTAAAACTGCTACCAGTCGAAAGCATGTTTTAAATGAAACATCTAAAAAAACGTGGGTATAAACATCAGTTAATTACACAAAAATTACTTACCTATAACGACAAACAACAAAAGTGCTAAGCTACTAAAAAAACAAAGCAGGAAATTTTCATTACTTGTTCCTCCTCTTACTGGAATTCTAAGAAGTGGTTTTGCGGTATATTCTAAAGCTACTGTACTAAGTATAATTTGAACACCACCAATTAACAAAAGATATTCATGGGTAAAATCGGCGATCACTGCAAATAAAAGAACAAAATAACCACTAAACTAGAAGACAACAGATACTTACTAAAATATCCCACAGATCCTATCCAATAAAAAATCCAGAAGCAAATAGCCCTCTTCTTCTGGTCAATCTTAAACCAATAAACAATACACAAGAAAATTAAATTTACTATAGATAAGATTCCAACGAGTTGGCTCATGTGTCTAATATTAACAAACTCAGCTTGTATGTACAAGTAACTAGGAAACAAGGAAAAAAATACAAACGAAGAATACGTATTAGCCACCATCGTCAAAAGCGACTTATAAAAAAAAGCTTCCTTCAGCACGTCCATCTGCCTTTTAAAATTCCCGCTGTTCACAACCGCCGGGACAAACACGTTCGCACTGGTCGTATCCGTGACAATTTCATCGTCATAAGCATACGTGTCGTTATTGTTAACAGGAAAATCCGCAAACAGAGGCGACGGTCTCTTATTCGCTGACTGAGTATTAGTTTCTTCAGCTAAAGAGAGATCATTGACAATTCGAGGTGACGGAGGTCCATCGTCTTGGAACCGTTCCCACTGCTGCTTCTTGGGTGTTTTGTCTTCATCGTCGTCGTCATCGTCAAACACTTCCCACTCGTTCAACTTCGCATACTTTATATCTTCGTCGTTTCCTTCGAAGTCTACCCAGTTTTTCGCCTGGTTTTGCGTACTGCCATAATGGTCCTCTTGTACTTGGATCAGTTCGTCACTAACTATAGTACTGGTGGTTTTCGTGCTGCTGGTGCTCGGTTGAGGACCGATTGGGATTTTGCTCACGCGAGTCTCGGTGCTGGTTTGACGTTTGATTTGGAGTTCTCGCGAATTTTTCGAGAGGATGTCTTCTTCGTCGTCTGGGTTCGACTGGAAAATGTTTATTTTTAGATTTTTGTGTAATGGGGTCAATTGGTGTTGTTACCAAGACAAACTGATAAGGTTTGCTGCGGTTTTTTGATTTTAGGTATTGCGGTTTCCTGAAGAACAGGCTGGCAATTAAGCCTTGGAGGATGATTGCTTGGTACCATAGCAACACTTGGGTTAGAGTTGTGTTGAGTATGTGGTGACCGAGCACTATGGGGGCGATTAGGAAGCCCATGATTGAGAAGAAGTGGGAAATTTGGTTCAAAATGGACAGTTTTTGACGAAAATATTGGGCTACTAATGTTTCGCATTGGATTAGAGCTATGGATGAACCCAAACCTACAAAAGAAGGAAAGTTTATGCAAATTTTTGTTGAAGTTAAAGTAAATATTTAAATAGTAGATATATTTTTTTTGATAACGTCATTGGCACCCTTGGAATCCTCGAAATCTTTGAAATTTAGAGAAGAGTTTGAATTTTCGCAGTATCTGGAAAATTTTCACAAATTCAGAAAAATGTTTAGAATTTCTAGAATTGAATAAATTTTTGAAATTTACAGAAGTTCCAATGTTATAAAAATATCAGTCTTCGGATATGCCAGAATTCAACATTTTCCTCAGTTTTCAAGATTTCTAGATCTTCCAGATTTTCTAAAATTAATAAAATCCAAAAGTGTTTAAATCTTCGATTTTTTTGGAATTTCTGAAATTTTTAGAATGTTTTGAAAGATTTATAAAAATTAAAGGAAGTATTTCTCAGATTTTTACAATTTTTAGATTTTTTGTTTTATTTAGAGTCTTTAGAATCTTTAAAATTTTTGTCATGTTAAGAGTTTCATGCGTTTTTTACAAATTATGGAACCTTTGAAATATTTGGAACAGAATTTTAAAAACCTTTTTAACGTTTCAGTTCCTAAAGTATTTACAATCTTTAGAGTTTTCAGGGTCCTTAGTCTTAACAATCTTTGGAAATTTTGGATACTTCAGAATTCCTAGAAATTTTATAAAGTTTAGTATTTTTTAATTTCTAAGAACATTAATACTTCCAAGATCTTTACAATTTTTAAGATTTTGTTGGATGTTTCTTCTATTTAGGACCTAAAATTTTATTTAGTATATTTGGTGTCTTTACAATTCGCAAATTTTAGTGTATGAAAACTTTGGAATTTTTAGAATATCTACAACCTTAAGATTCTGTAAACTTTTAAAATTTTGAGATTTAATATTTTTTTATTTTGTTTTAATTCTTCGGAATTTTCGTAATTTGCAACATTTTCAAAATTTCTAGAATGTTCAGATTTTCCAAATTAGCCCAATTTTTCAGATTTTCAGAAGTACACAAAATGACCAAAATTATCAGGCTTCATTTTTACTATAATTTTGAAATCCAACTTTTTCTAGTATTTACAATTTTTAGGTATTTAGGATTTTTGTTTTCTTTAAACTCTTTGTAATTTTTAAAATCTTTGGCAATTTAATAAGACTTCACATGATTTTTACGAGTTTTGGAATCTTTGGCTTTTTTGAATTTCTCTAGAATCTTTAGGATCTTTGAAGTGTTCGAAACAGAATTGTAGCTTTTGACCACTTAGAATCTTTAGACCCTTTAGAGCCTTTAAAATTTTTAGTCGTTAGAGAATTTAGTCTTTAAATTCGTATTTCCAGTCTATGGAAATTTTGAACACTTTGGGAATTACTAGGAGTTTTATAAAGTTTAAAATTTCTGCAATTTCTTGGATCATTAGTACCCCCAGGTTCTTTAAAATTTTAAAGATTTTTTGGAATTTTTAGAATCTCTAGAACTTCTATAACCTTTAGAGCTTTCAGATTTTCATTAACTTTCAGTATCTCTAGAATTTTAAATATTTTTAGATCTTTAGGATTTTTATCATGTTTCCAATTTTTAAATATTTGTAATCTGTGGAATCTTCGGAATTTTTTAAATCCCTGAAATTCCTTTAGAATTTTTAAATTGCCGGATTCTCTAGTTTCTTTTAATTTTTTGAAATTCCTGAAATCCCTGTAGTCCTTAAAGTTTTTGGCATCCTTAAAAGCCTTAAAACCTTTAAAATGGTTGGAATATTTAGGACTTTGGAATCTTTCCAAAAATTCTGTCAGAATTTTAGAATTTCTGTAATTTCTAGAATTAACATTGTGCATATTTTACATTTATTCGGCAAAATTGTAAGATGGCGTCATAGATTTTACCAGACAAATTGTGGTTGGGATTTTTTGAGATTTTCGGAAGTACACAAAATGACCAGAATTTCCACATTTTCCAAAATTTCTAAAATTATCAGGCCCCAGTTATATGTACTAGAATTTTGAAATTCAATCTTTTCCACTATTTTCAAGATTTCTACGTCTACCACATTTTTCTCATACTTTCTAAATTTGTTCAGATTTTCTAAAATTTATAGATCTCAAGAGTCTAAATCTCTGAAACTTTTGGAATCGATGGAATCTTTACAGTCTTCAAGATTTATAAGATATTAATTACGGTGTTCAAGGCCTTCAGGGCTTTTAGGATTTATAAAAATTAAAAAAAGCATTTTTCGGATCTTTACGATTTTTAGCTCTTTAAGATGTTTGTTTTCTTTAAAGTCTTTGTAATTTTAAAAATCTTTGGTATTTTAAGAGTTCACCCGATTTTTACAAGTTTTAGAATCTTTGGCTTTTTGGAATTTCTCTAGAACCTTTAGAATCTTTCAAGTATTCGAAACAGAATTTTAGCTTTTGATCCCTTAGAGTCTCTAGACCCTTTAGAGCCTTAAAAATCTGTAGTCGTTAGAGTATTTAGAGTCTTTCCGATCTATGGAATTTTGAACACTTTGGGAATTACTAGGAGTTTTATAAAGTTTAAAATTTCTGCAATTTCTAGGATCATTAGTACCCCCAGGTTCTTTAAAATTTTTAAGATTTTTTGGAATTTTTAGAATCTCTAGAATCACTAGAACTTCTATAACCTTTAGAACTTCTATAACCTTTAGAACTTTCAGATTTTCATTAACTTTCAGTATCTCTAGAATTTTAAATATTTTTAGATCTTTAGGATTTTTATCATGTTTCCAATTTTTAAATATTTGGAATCTGGGGAATCTTTGAAATTTTTGAAATTCCTGAAACCCCTTTAGAATTTTTAAATTGCCGGCTTCTCTAGCGTCTTTTAATTTTTTGAAATTCCTGAAATCCTTGTAGTCCTTAGAGTTTTTGGCATCTTTGAAATCCTTAAAACCTTTAAAAGAGTTGAAATATTTAGGACTTTCACAATGTTTGGAATATTTCCACAAATTCGGTCAGAATTTTAGAATTTCTGTAATTTCTAGAATTAACATTATACATATTTTACATTTATTCCGCAAAATTGTGAGATGGCGTCATCGATTTTATCAGACAAATTTTGGTTAGGATTTTTTGAGATTTTCCGAAGTACACAAAATGATTAGAATTTCCACATTTTCCAAAATTTCTAAAACTATCAGGCCCCAGTTATACTAGAATTTTGAAATTCAACATTTTCCAATATTTTCAAGATTTCTAAGCCTATCACATTTTTCCCGCACTTTCTAAATTACTTCAGATTTTCTAAAATTTATAGATCTCAAGAGATCTCTGGAATTTTTGGAATCTCTGGAATCTCTGCAGTTTCTAAGATTTATAAGATAATAATTATGGTGTTCGAGGACTTCGAGGCCTTCAGTGCTTTTAGGATTTATAAAAATTAAAGAAAGCATTTTTCCGGTCTTCACGATTTTTAGGTCTTTAAGATGTTTTTCTTTAAACGTTTTTTAATTTTTAAAATCTTTGGCGTTTAATAAGAGTTCACGCGATTTTTACAAGTTTTAGAATCTTTGGCTTTTTGGAATTTCTCTAGAACCTTTAGAATCTTTCAAGCATTTGAAATAGAATTTTAGCTTTTGACTCCTTAGAGTCTTTAGACCTTTTAGAGCCTTTAAAATCATTAGTCGTTAGAGTATTTAGAGTTTTTCCAATCTATGGAATTTTGAACACTTTGGGAATTACTAGGAGTTTTATAAAGTTTAAAATTTCTGCAATTTCTAAGATCATTAGTACCCCCAAGTTCTTTAAAATTTTTAAGATTTTTTTGAATTTTTAGAATCACTAGAATTTCTATAACCTTTAAAGCTTTCAGATTTTCATTAACCTTCAGTATCTCCAGAATTTCAAATATTTTTAGATCTTTAGAATTTCTATCATGTTTCCATATTTTCCAAAATTTCTAAAATTATCAGGTCCCAGTTATATGTACTAGAATTTTGAAATTCAATATTTTCCACTATTTTCTAGGTCTACCACATTTTTCCCGCATTTTATAAATTTTTTCAGATTTTCTAAAATTTATGGACTTCAAGAGTCTAAATCTTTAGAATACATGTTTGGAATCTCTGAAATCTTTACAGTCTCCAAGATTTATAAAATAATAATGATGGTGTTCGAGGTCTTCAGTGCTTTTAGGATGTATAAAAATTAAAGAAAGCATTTTTCCCATCTTTACATTTTTAGGTCTTTAAGATTTTTGTTTTCTTTAAAGTCTTTGGAATTTTTAAAATCCTTGGAATTTTAAGAGTTCACGCGATTTTTTCAAGTTTTAGAATCTTTGGCTTTTTGAAATTTCTCTAGAACCTTTAGAATCTTTCATGTATTTGAAACAGAATTTTAGGTTTTGACCCCTTAGAGTCTTTAGACCCTTTAGAGCCTTTAAAATCATTAATCGTTAGAGGATTTAGTCTTTAAACTCTTTAGGGTCTTTCCAATCTGTGGCAATTTTGAACAGTCTGGGAATTACTAGGACTTTTATAAAGCCTAAAATTTCTGCAAATCCTAGGATCATTAGTACCCCTAAAATGTTACACAATTTTAATTTTTTTCCCAAAAATCTGGATGTCTCGGGTGAAAACTCGACACGGATTCATGAATCACACATGTATGCAGGCCTATAAAATTAAATATGTACCTAACACCAAAAAAAAAGAGACAAATTAGTAGTAAGTAAAATGCTACGTTTCACCCCACATTTTGTTTTTAAATTTATTATAAGGTGCTTTATCATTTTTAACAGGCCAATTCTGACGTTGAAGTGTTTTTTTTTTTATTTTTTTCATAAAAATCTCAAAGTCAGCGGTTTCTATATGCTATATGGATCCGCTGGTATCATGGTCAAAATCTTTAGAAATCCACAACTTTTTAAAAAATAACCTTCACAATGGGGTGAAATGTTAAAAACGTATATCGTTTCTATGTGTCTGTGATATTTTTAGGAATATTAATTTCACTTGTAATTGTAACATCCTGAATATGTGAAAAATGTAAATAAAAAAA